ACATTATCCACATGAATATTAAAATTCACCTGTAATAACCAAACTATCAAAATCTGTGCATACAACTGAAAAGCAACTCGGTAAAATTATCAATAAAACTGTGACATGACTGCGGTGGCTTGTATAGGACAATGAAGAGTATTGGAGGAGATTGTTTTTGTTGTATTTTAAAAAGGACATATTCAAAAGACGAAAACTTCCCAAGAGACATTCTATGGGAGACAAAGTGGTCTCTGAAAATGGGCAGCTAAGCCTCCTCCTTTTTTGTTTTCCCGTATTTCAGATTCAAACTTGAAATTTGGTGGTGATGCTTCTATTAAAACTGCATTTCCTGAATTTTGGTCAAGCCAAGTTTTCAGCCATGAACATAAAGATCAAGATTATGAGAACAAATAAAATTATTGATTAAAAAAGACTTGTTACAAAGAGATACTGACATTAAGCGTAGCAAGTTTCAAAGTTTCAGTATCAGCGGTTGTGGTCGGCTGAAATTCTTACACGGAACAAGAATTAGATTTTCCAGATTAGACTTATTAACTCCAGATGTCTTTCTGTAATGTATTCTTTGTGTTATCACTACGGGAATGGCACACGGTGGCTTCATGACAGGGCCCCAGCCGGGTCTCTCCTCTAACTAGACTGCCAGTGGCTGCGAAGCAGAGACCCTGTGCATCCTAGTGTTTAAGAAAGAGAAAAGAGGGGATAGGGGGAAGGCGGGGAGGAGGATGGAGGATGGTGGGATGGCTTTTGGGTGTTGAACGAGGAGGGGGGGGGGACCCCACCCCCCCCCCCCCTGGGGGGCAGGAGGTGGATGGGGTTTTTGGTGATGGGTTAGGGGAGGGGCAGGCTGTGTTGGGTGGTGGACGGGGGGGAGTGAGGTGGAGGTTTCTTGGTGCTTGAGTTAGGGGGGGGGGGGTGAGCTAAATGTGCAGGAGGGGGGGGTGGAATACTTATGGGGTTTGAGAAGGGACGGGTGGATTTTGTGGGAGAATTTGAGTTGACGCCATAGGTGCTTGGAGGTACGTATGGGGAGTAGTTTTGAATGTTAGATAGATCTTGATCTGGATACAGTGGGTGTGAGAGGAATAGTCTTCATCGCCGATCTTATCATGCATGCTGAGTGTTCCGGTAAAAAATCAGTAGGAAGGCGGGGATAGAAACAAGGGAAACGGTCGTCATCATTTTCCTAGATGGAGTGGATGTAGCGGGGGACCCTAGCCGGGTCCATGGAGGTGATGAGGGAGTCTTTGGTGGAGACAGAGGTGGTTGAGAACCCCCAGTACAAGGCTGACTGTAGCCTGGAGGAAGGGGGAAGCTTCACGGGAGCTGTAGGGGGGAAGGTGCTGCTGAAGATGATGGAGCAGCCACTGCTGTGCTGAAGATGATGGAGGCAGCCACTGGGCTGCTGTTCCACTAGTATGCTGGTGAAGATGATGGAGCCAGCCACTTCCCAAACTCAGTAACACCGAGGCCCCCACCGGCTGTATTAAAAATGGAGCAGCACTTGCTGATCTGAAGGGTCTGCGTGCCCCCCAAATAATAACCAAGAAGAACAACATTAAGAATAGGCTCTTCTGGTTATTTTTTTGGGGATTATTTAGCAGACAGAGACGGATGTGGTGTGTCCAACTCTGGAAGTTTATTCTTAAAGTTTCTTCAAGTGTTTAATCTGTTTCTTTTCCTCAGACAGAATAAAGGGCAGTACACAGTTTATAATATCATTGTAACGCACACATCGAAAGAATTACGTGTCACAAAGAGAACAGTCAAATCATAGTCATAACATGGAGTCCTTGTAGAGTCCTTGGGGAAATAGCCTCTGCTACAAATCAAATCGATCAATCAATAAAAGTGGAAAAAGAAAAAAAAAAAAAAAAAATCCTAAAAAAAATCTTAAAAAAAAAATATATATATTAAAAACCAGAAATGTATTGCATTAACTCATAATCATCAAATCAATATCAGAGGATTTTATATCTATCCTGGGAAATAAACAAAACAAACAAGAAAAAACAAACCAATCAAAAATAAAAAACAACAAAAAGAACTATTGGACACAGTAGAACTCAGCAGATTCAGTCAAAAACACAGACAAAAAACGGATGCGTCTCAATTTGAGCTAATATCACTTTTATACACAATACTTTTATTTAATGTAATTTTAATTTTTGGGTTTACAACTACACTTCAATTATTTCACTGTATTATTTTCAATTTTTAATCATATACTGTGTACTTTACTCTCATTCACTATAGTTTAAACTATTCTAATCTATTTACAAATATGTTTTCATATTTGCTTCTATTGAGAATTCTTAAAACATACATTTTAATTAATAAATCTCTCTTTAGTTTACTTTCATTAGCAGTGGCTTATTGTCAGTGGGATTTTGTCAATGTCTACTATCATTCTCAGAATAAAAACTGTGAACCCGACGAGTAGGCAAATGGTCTAACATTTACACTTCTATAGTGGTCAGTGATTTATTACTTCTTTATTTATCTAAGATATTAATTGTCAGGCAGTTTGGGAAGAGATGAAACATCATTAATCAAATTAGTATTATCCTTACAGAGACTAATCTATTTTAGAGGTTTGGGGTTGGGGTCAGTTATTCTAATGGTGTTTGTGCTGGAAACTTCAATATCTATATCTACTATTTTGTTTTTGTTGCTATACAAAATACATCATAATGCTTTTAAATGCTTTTGAATCTAGGTTGGTTCTAATCTATCTCATTGATCTAGGCATTAATCTAGGCTACACTCATTTGGACTTTTGCATAGTCAACATTCACTCATGTGTGAACACAAGTGAATTTTGGCAAGTACTAATAAAACTGGTCATAAACTGTAACTAATTTATCTACTTCAGAAGTCAAATGTTTGTGAAATGGTCCCCATTTACCATATGATATTACACTGGCTACATATAATCTCTATTTTGAAGGATCTATGGTTGATGCATTTATATATTCCTATTTTTACTCTATTTTTTAACTTCAAAGTCGGCTGCCAGTTGAGCAAAGGCATATTTTAATTTGTGACTCTGTCATTTGAATGGCTGTAACATACTCTGATTCTAATATTATAGGCTGATCTATCAAAGGATAAACCATTGTGGGTACTTTTTCACTCTTAGTGGAATGTGTTTATGAAAAACAAAGGAGTCAAATTCTACTCTTTTTACTACTATTTGCATTACTAAACGCTACAATACTCATACTTTAATCATTTTCAAACCTTTTTAACAGTTGCTCAGTCTCCCAAGACTAAAAAAAAAAAAGTCAAAGTTTTTGTCTGTAGATGTCTGTATCTTATCATGTATATTGAATTTTGTCCACAGGTTCTGGTTGTAGCAATAGAATCGGCAATAGACGTTTTCATTGGCTGGTTCTTGTTCTGCAATGCTGTGTCCATAGATAAATCAGAGGTCAGAAGCTAGGGACAACAAAACAAAAGAAAGAATCATGAGTATCTCTCTCATTTAGCACTCATCAATGTATGATTTCAAAAATATAAACATACTCCCCAGTTTTCTTCAGGTCCTCAGGTCCTCAGGGTCCCCTGAGGGTGAGTTCAGTCGTCATCAGGTCGAGTCATCTTGGACATCAGTAGGTCCAAGCCATGGTTCTTGGTTCTGGTCTCCAGATTGCACATCAGATCTCCAGATAAGTCTTTTCACTTGACAGCACATCAAGGTCATTGCGATGCACTTCTGGTCAATTGTGCAGCCCCCACCCCCATCCCGGGGGGGGGTGTCACGTTCCTGTACACAGTTTGTTATGCAATAGTTACTCTCTAGGGTTAAATCCTTTGATTCTACTTTAAACACAATTTCTATTCATGCTGTTGCTAATGTCCCTCAGACAATAATGCAAGCGCGTTTACTTCTCTAATTGTGTTTTTATCAGAATCTAATTCTAAATAATGTATTACTTCACACAGTACAAAAATCAACAAATCAAAAGTGTCAGGACAAGAGGTCAAATTATGGTCCATGCAAATATAGAATTTAAATGAACATTTTATGGTCTCCAAAAAATACTGATTCAAATGAAGATTCAAGTTGATGACAATTAAAAATATGTGTTTCATGGTTGAGTGATGGGGAGGTGGAGGAAGGTGTCCGGTTGGAGGAGGGAAGCAGGTTTTGTTCCGTGAGGAGGGAGGTTTTTGGATTTTTGTAAGTTTGTTTTTCTGTGTGAGGAGGGCGGGGGTTTGGTTTTATTTATCAGATAGAGAAGGATCGGAAGATGTTGGCTTCCTGTGTTGTGTATGTGGAGGAGGAGGTGAGTGAGGTGGGAGGAGGGTTTGATGAGAAAATGAATGGTGAGGAGGAGGATTTGTTGTTGTGTTGACTTAGAGGGAGTCTTAGGTTGGGCGAGAAGGAGTGTTGTTGACCGTGCGTGATGTGAGGAAAGGAGGTGTTTTTCGTGAGGAGGAGGAGGAGGCGGTTTTATGTGTCAGTTCTTAGAGTCGGTGGTGTGTGGTTTGATGTGAGGAGGGTTGATGGAAAGTTTCTGTTTTGAGGAGCTGAGAGTTGAGTAGTGAGAGGAGGAGGTGCTTGTGAGGAGGAGGAGGAGGTGCTTTTATGGTTTTGTAGTGTGGTGTTGGTGTGAGGAGGGAGTGTGTGATAGTGAGGAGGAGGGAGTGGGTTTTAGGGTTGTTTAGGGGGTTGTTGTGTGAGGAGGAGGGAGGTGTGAGTAGAAGGGAGAGTATAAGGTGCGTGTAGGTGAGGAAGAGGAGGTGAGGTTCCATTCTTGTTTTGTGTGGAGGAGAGGAGGAGGTATTGTCATGTAGTGAGGAGGTTTGGGTTGTGTGAGGAAGTAGCGAAGGGTTGCGTTTGTGCGTGCGTTTTTGTGTGATTCGTAGGGAGGAGGGAAGGGTGAGGGGAGGGGGAGGGAGGTGTGTGAGTGAGGAGGAGGAGTGGTGACTGGCGTGAAGGAAGGTAGGTGATACTGGAGGAGGCGGTATGTGTTGTGTGAGAGGAGGGAGGTTCAGGTGTGAGTGAGGCGGATGTGTGAGGAGGAAGGAAGAGGTATACAAGAGGAGGAGGTTCCTCTGGGAGGTGTGTGTAGGAGGAGGAGAGTTTGTTTTGTGGGAGGAGGTGAGTCGATGGAGAGGAGGAGGTGGAAGGAGGAGGGGTTTTTTGTCGTTTGTTTGGGTTGTGAGGAGTGAGTGAGGAATAGGAGTGTGTGAGGGGGGCGGATTCGGTGAGGGAAGGTGAGAGGTCGGTGTGATGGAGTTGCGGCGCGTGATTGAGGAGGAAGTGTGTTGACCGATGAGTGCGAGGAGGGAGGAGGTGTTGTGTTGTTGTAAAAACAAAAAAAAAAAGAGTGTGTGATACGTGAGGAGTGTGTGAGGAGTGATGTGAGGAGGAGGAGGTGTGTGAGGAGGAGGTGAGTGAGGAAGAGGAGGGTGTGTGAGGAGGAGGAGGTGTGAGGAGGTGTGTGAGGAGGAGGTGTGTGAGTGAGGAGGAGGTGTGTGATTGAGGAGGAGGTGAGTGAGGAGGAGGAGGTCTGTGAGGAGGAGGAGCAGGAGAAGGTGAGTGAGGAGGAGGTGTGAGTGAGGAGGAGAAGGTGTGTGAGTGAGGAGGAGCAGGAGGAGGTGAGGTGAGTGAGGAGGAGGAGGAGGTGAGTGAGGAGGAGGTGAGTGAGGAAGAGGAGGTGTGTGAGTGAGGAGGAGGTGAGTGAGGAGGAGGTGTGTGAGGAGGAGGAGGTGTGTGAGGAGGAGGTGTGAGGAGGAGGTGTGTGAGGAGGAGGTGTGTGAGGAGGATGAGGGTGGTGTGTGTGAGGAGGAGGAGGTGTGTGAGGAGGTGAGTGAGGAGGAGGTGGAGGTGTGTGAGGAGGAGGTGAGTGAGGAAGAGGAGGTGTGTGAGGAGGAGGAGGTGTGAGGAGGTGTGTGGAGGAGTGAGGAGGAGGAGGTGTGTGAGTGAGGAGGAGGTGTGTGATTATGTGAGGTGAGTGAGGAGGAGGTGTGTGAGGAGGAGGAGAGTGAGGAGGAGGTGTGTGAGGAGGAGGTGTGTGAGGAGGTGTGTGAGGAGGAGGAGGTGTGTGAGGAGGAGGTGAGTGAGGAGGAGGTGTGTGAGGAGGAGGAGGTGTGTGAGGAGGGGTGAGGAGGAGGAGGAGGAGGAGGAGGTGTGTGAGGAGGAGGAGGTGTGTGAGGAGGGGTGAGGAGGAGGAGGAGGTGTGTGTGATGACGAGGAGGAGGTGTGTGAGGAGGAGGTGAGTGAGGAAGAGGAGGTGTGTGAGTGAGGAGGAGGTAAGTGAGGAGGAGGTGTGTGAGGAGGTGTGTGAGGAGGAGGAGGAGGTGTGTGAGGAGGAGGTGAGTGAGGAGGAGGTGTGTGAGGAGGAGGAGGTGTGTGAGGAGGGGTGAGGAGGAGGTGAGCGAGGAGGAGGAGGTGTGTGAGGAGGAGGTGAGTGAGGAAGAGGAGGTGTGTGTGAGTGAGGAGGAGGTGAGTGAGGAGGAGGTGTGTGAGGAGGAGGAGGTGTGTGAGGAGGGGTGAGGAGGAGGAGGAGGTGTGTGATGACGAGGAGGAGGTGTGTGAGGAGGAGGTGAGTGAGGAAGAGGAGGTGTGTGAGTGAGGAGGAGGTGAGTGAGGAGGAGGTGTGTGAGGAGGTGGTGAGGAGGAGGGTGTGGAGGAGGTGTGTGAGGAGGAGGTGAGTGAGGAGAGGTGTGTGTGTGAGGAGGTGAGGAGGAGGAGGTGAGTGAGGAGGAGGTGTGTGAGGAGGTGGTGAGGGAGGGAGGTGTGTGAGGAGGAGGGGAGGTGAGTGAGGAGGAGGAGTGTGTGTGAGGAGGAGGAGGTGAGGAGGAGGAGGTGAGTGAGGAGGAGGTGTGTGTGAGGAGGAGGAGGTGAGTGAGGAGGAGGTGAGAGTGAGGAGGAGGAGGTGAGTGAGGAGGAGGTGAGTGAGGAGGAGGAGGTGAGTGAGGAGGAGGAGGTGGAGTGGATGAGGAGGAGGAGGTGAGTGAGGAGGAGGTGTGTGATGAGGAGGAGGTGAGTGAGGAGGAGGAGGTGAGTGAGGAGGAGGTGTGTGAGGAGGAGGAGGTGTGTGAGGAGGAGGAGGTGAGTGAGGAGGAGGTGTGTGATGAGGAGGAGGTGAGTGAGGAGGAGGAGGTGTGTGAGGAGGAGGAGGTGAGTGAGGAGGAGGAGGTGTGTGAGGAGGAGGAGGTGAGTGAGGAGGAGGTGTGTGAGGAGGAGGAGGTGAGTGAGGAGGAGGTGTGTGATGAGGAGGAGGTGAGTGAGGAGGAGGTGTGTGAGGAGGAGGAGGTGAGTGATTAGGAGGAGGTGAGTGAGGAGGAGGTGTGTGAGTGAGGAGGAGGTGTGTGAGTGAGGAGGTGTGTGAGGAGGAGGAGGTGAGTGAGGAGGAGGTGTGTGAGGAGGAGGAGGTGAGTGAGGAGGAGGTGTGTGAGGAGGAGGAGGTGAGTGAGGAGGAGGTGTGTGATGAGGAGGAGGTGAGTGAGGAGGAGGAGGTGAGTGATGAGGAGGAGGTGTGTGATGAGGAGGAGGTGAGTGAGGAGGAGGAGGTGAGTGATGAGGAGGAGGTGAGTGATGAGGAGGAGGTGTGTGAGGAGGAGGTGTGTGAGGAGGAGGTGAGTGATGAGGCCAGGTCTCTGAGCAGCTGCTCCTCCTCCTCCTCACACACCTCCTCCTCCTCCTCCTCCTCACACACCTCCTCCTCCTCCTCCTCACACACCTCCTCCTCCTCCTCCTCCTCCTCCTCCTCACACACCTCCTCCTCCTCCTCCTCCTGGTCGTTTGTACACAGCTGTATCGATCACAGCCTCTCTCTGAGTTTGTATTTTTCTTTGTTTATTATTGAAGTCCAGAAACGGTTTATCTGTGTGTGTGTGTGTCTCTGTGTGTGTGTGTGTCTCTGTCTGTGTGTGTGTCTGTGTGTGTGTGTGTGTCTGTGTGCGTGTGTGTGTATGTGTGTCTGTGTGTGCGTGTGTGTGTCTCTGTCTGTGTGTGTGTCTGTGTGTGTGTGTCTCTGTCTGTTTGTGTGTCTGTGTGTGTGTCTCTGTGTGTGTGTGTGTGTCTCTGTCTGTGTGTGTGTGTCTCTGTCTGTTTGTGTGTCTGTGTGTGTGTGTGTCTATGTGTGTGTGTGTGTGTGTGTCTGTGTGCGTGTGTGTGTATGTGTGTCTGTGTGTGCGTGTGTGTGTCTATGTGTGTATGTGTGTGTGTGTGTGTGTGTATGTGTGTGTGTGTGTCTATGTGTGTATGTGTGTGTGTGTGTGTGTGTATGTCTGTGTGTGTGTCAGTTGGTGGTGTCAGGTAACACACAATCGCACACCTCAGCTCTGTCCTGTTCAGTCTCAGAGCAGACTTTACAGAAACAACAGAAACTCAAATCTAGAGCAGAAAGAACAATCCACTTTATCTGTATGGAACATGTGATTAAAGAAGATTCTGCACCGAGACAGAAGGAGGTCTGTGAGGAGGAGGAGGACAGTGAGGAGGAGGAGCAGGAGGAGGAGCAGGAGGAGAGTGAGGAGGAGGAGCAGGAGAGTGAGGAGGAGAGTGAGGAGGAGGAGCAGGAGAGTGAGGAGGAGAGTGAGGAGGAGGAGCAGGAGTAGAGTGAGGAGGAGAGTGAGGAGGAGGAGCAGGAGGAGAGTGAGGAGGAGCACATTTTAATTTACAGGTTTGTAGATTCAGATGTTTATAAACGCCTCCCGGTGGGACGTGCCCGGAACACCTCCCCAGGGAGGCGTCCAGGAGGCATCCGGAACAGATGCCCGAGCCACCTCAACTGGTTCCTCTCAACGTGGAGTAGCAGCGGCTCTACTCCGAGCTCCTCCCGTGTGACTGAGCTCCTCACCCTATCTCTAAGGGAGCAGCCACTCTGCGGAGGAAGCTCATTTCGACCGCTTGTATCCGCGATCTCGTTCTTTTGGTCATTACCCAAAGCTCATGACCATAGGTGAGGGAGCTCTGACTGCAGACGCTGCTCCCTCATGACCATAGGTGAGGGAGGGAATGAAGATTGACCGGTAAATAGAGAGCTTTGCCTTTTGGCTCAGCTCCCTCTTCACCACAACAGTCTGACAGAGCTCTGACTGCACATGCTGCTCCCTCTTCACCACAACGGTCCGATACAGCTCTGACAGCAGACGCTGCTCCCTCTTTACCACGACGGTCCGATACAGCGACCGCATCACTGCGCACGCTGCACTGATCCGCCTGTCAATCTCACGCTCCATTCTTCCCTCACTCGTGAACAAGATCCCGAGATACTTGAACTCCTCCACTTGAGGAAGGACCTCTCCACCCACCTGCAGAGGGCAAGGCACCTTTTTCCGGTCGAGCACCATGGCCTCGGATTTGGAGGTGCTGATTCTCATCCCAGCCGCTTCACACTCGGCTGCAAACCGCCCCAGTGCATGCTGCAGGTCCTGGTTCGTTGGAGCCAGCAGGACGACATCATCCGCAAACAGCAGAGATGAAATCCTGTGGTTCCCGAACCGGACCCCCTCCGACCCCTGGCTGCGCCTAGAAATTCTGTCCATAAATACAGTGAACAGAACCGGTGACAAAGGGGGCTTCTGTTCACTGTGTCAATAATAACTTAAATTGTTTAATATCTAGATATATAACATGTAACACTTATAAACATACACAATGCTATAATGTGTGTGTTTACTTTACTGTTGAATGTCCAGTACTTTCCTGATTGCAGACAGACTGCTGCAGGTGTTGTGGGTGACGTGGTCCTTTTTCGTTGTTTGTCACATTTACTGATGAATAAACTCTCACTTTGATTGCATTACCCTAACCCTTGTGTGTTTTCATAGTTTTTGCTCTCGGCCTGTACAACAATCCCCAACATTACCATTTCTTATCCTGTACTGTCGACATACTGTACTCTGGGCTGCTCCGATGAAACGTAATGGAGTGAGTGAACCTTTGTGATCCAGTCCAAACCGCTGTGAAGCAGGTTCCTGGGTCTGAAGCGTCTCCCTGTGAGTCCTGGAGGCTCTGTTGTTGTTGGAAGCCGGCCCCTGCATCGTGACTCAGGCCCAGATGGTCCGAGCAGCCGTCACAGATCTGCAGAAGAGAGGCGCTCCAAGCTCCGCTCCTCCCGAAAGAAAGCACATAATCCCAAAGAAGCCACTCAGAGCCCAGAGGAGGACACTGTGGAGGATCATGTGAGAGAAAAGGCTGCGACGAAACATAACGCAACAGTCGGATTTTTGGGTGAAATGAGAGGAACTCGGAATAAATAGCCCCCAGTCTCAGAACCCACCTGCATCCTGGACATGCGACCAGCTGTAGAAGGGCCTCGATTCAATTCTATTCCGTTTATTTTTGTATTGCTCAAAGCCACAACAGTAGTAGCCTGGCCTTATCCAATCATCATTTCACTGCATGTAACGTCTGGGTCTGGTTCCTGTACAATCGCTTGAATTTTGACTGACCAATGAGAGACCGCGGGAGGCGGGTGTTGTAGTTAGTTGTGGGTGATGTCAAGAGTTTGCGTCGAACAGGAAGGTTGTAGTTTGGTAATGGCGAAAAATGCGATAGTAAAGTAATCCATTCTGGTTCTATCAAGAAATTGAAGCCGGAGCAGGAGGAATGTTTATCAAATGTAATCGCTGGAAAAATTGTGGCGCTACTCCCCACGGGCTCCGTTAGCGGCAAAGGAGATGGCTAAAGCTAGGCTAAAATTTTTTTTTTTATCTTTATTTATATACCGCCTTTTCACTGCAGATCTGAGTCTCAAAGGGGTTTACAATTGTTAATTATGGGCATTTGTCTCTCACTCCACACAGAGATGGGAGCGGGGCCAGTACAGGAGCCGCCTGCCAGACATGCCTATTGGACATATTTTTAGTGGTAGGGGAAACCGGAGTACCCGGAGGAAACCTACGCAGACACGGGGAGAACATGCAAACTCCACTCAGAAAGGCCCTGGTCCGACCGGGATTCGAACCCAGGACCTTCTTGCTGAGAGGCGAGAGTGCTAACCACTCAGCCACTGTGCCACTAAATGCTACCGACAGACTCGGGCTCATTACATACGTCACGGTAAACTCAGATCCAATGGTTTCAATCTGCAAAAGGAGTTAGCCGGAGTCAATGGAGCAAATCCAGACCTTAGTATGACATTTAATTTTCAAAACTGTCGATTCGAGTTCCTTCAAATCTATTCCATCTGGAGGGACTCGAACAGACTAAACATGGGTATTAGAATTGTTTGTTGGTGGCAGCAACCTGACTCAGTCCATAAATTACACACATGACTCTGAGAACAATAACAAAAGATTACATTTATTGCTGCTGTACACAAATGTGGTCAGGATTTGGTGCTTAGACCCCGGCAGAGCACTGCACGATTGCAGCAGGGGAAAGAGATTATGAGATGAAATCCCCCGGGGCCTAGACCCTGGTGGTGGGAGTGAGAAAGAGCTGACCAGCAACGAGGCGGAGTTGGGGAGGAGGAGGGTTGCAGCGTGAGTGAAGCTGCTGCTTGGATGGAGCTTGGACGTGATATGAAGCTTGAAGCCTGATTGCTGCCACACATTGGTATCGGTCCATAAGAGGCAGATGTCCATAAATATTGAACTTTCCTACTCAAATATAATGTCCATAAATGTAAACACAGGAGATGCAAAGATAAAAAACACATAGAGCCATTGGTCCGGACTGAATGGTCAGGAAATGTCATTTGACGATGGTATCAACTCCATTAAATGATTTAGAAAAGAGCAGTTGTTTAGGCAGAATGTGGCCTGTGCTGTAGTGTAAACCTCACTGCAGTTTAGTCCAAATAATCCACTGAAAAATGAGGCTAATCTTCCACAGCGCAGGTTCATGTTCTCCATTAAGCGTTAGCATCACACACAACCACAAAAGACTGAGGCTTCAATCCTTCAGTTTTAACCCTTTAATATTCACTGTTGGAAGTTTTTTTGTAGAACCCCAAGTTTTTTAAAAATTGTTAAGTTTTAGTTTGATGATAAAAGTGCCTATATCCAAGATAGAGAGGCCCCGATGAGGTAGATTTCAAACATAACAGTTCCAAACATAGTTCAAGTAGACTCAAAAAGTGATGAGCCATTGGATGTGAGTAGAAGCCACAAACGCTAACGCGACTAAATCAGTAATTAACAACTTTTCCTTAAAAAAAACCTTAGTTAAACTACTAATTAACTAAATCCATTGGTCCCTCCTCCTGCGTCTGAGTTCGTGCACTTGGTTCTAGTGCATCTGTGTCCTTTGCTGGGTCTCAAACTCATTGTATCTGGGGGTCGCATGAGGTGGAGTCTGGGTGAAGCTGGGCCTATAAGGGCTATGTTTGACACGTGTTTGTGTGTGTGCAGAATTTACTGTATTAACAACAGAACAGACACATCTTCTCCTTCTTTAACATTAACATTAGAGATGGCTAGGCTAAATGCTAACGACAGACTCGGGCTCATTACATACGTCACGGTAAACTCAGATCCAGTGGTTTCAATCTGCAAAAGGAGTTAGCCCCTCCCACCTGTTCACGGAGCCAATGGAGCTAATCCAGACCTTAGTATGAAATGTCATTTGTAGTATGGTGTGGTAAGACCAGGCTAAGTATTTTGTGTAGTATTTCATTTTTAGATTAATTTTAATTGTCATTTGCAGTAAAACCACATTGGAATTCATGCACTAAAGTCTCCAGTGTGCACCAGACAAGCACATAAGTTAAACAAGTGCACGTGTCTCTTCCACAGAGCTGCTTTTTGCTGAAGGTGATACGTCCTGGTTCCTGGCACAGCTCCTCCCTGAGACAGCAGCTTCCCACACACATGCAGACCGGTCAGCTCCAGGTCAGGCTGCACTGGGACGCTGCGGAGGTGGGGGGGGGGGGGGGGGGGGGGGATCAGTATGGGGCTGGGTAGACTTTCATGTGCGCCCAGAGAGTTTGTGGAGTCGTTTGGGGTCTGTCTCTACCAGACTTACAGTTTTACATTCTTTTTCACATAACAGCTCGAGGTCACATTGGATCAGACCTGGGCAAAGTGCGGCCCGGGGGTCACATCCGGCCCAATTTGTATGTCAATGTGGGCCCTGGACTGTTTTCAGCCATTAACCTCAAAGTAGTAGTTGCGGTCGTAGTCGTAGTAGTAGTCATAGCCATAGTCGTAGAAACAGTATTAGTTGTAGTAATAGCAGCAGTAGTAGCAGCAGTAGTAGTAGCAGTAGTAGTAGCAGCAGCAGTAGCAGCAGTAGAAGTAGTAGTAGCAGTAGTAGTAGCAGCAGTAGTAGTAGCAGTAGTAGTAGCAGCAGTAGCAGCAGTAGAAGTAGCAGTAGTAACAGCAGTAGTAGTAGCAGTAGTAGCAGCAGTAGTAAACAAAACAAAATGATAAATTCTGCACGATACAGAAATCACTGCACCCACACATGAGCAACAAATGAAGGTGAAAACACAACAAAGAGGTACAGGGAGGATCTGTACAACATACTGTATATACTGTATATACTGTATATACTGTATATACAGTATATACTTTGGCTCAAAGAGGAGTGGGAAGAAGAACCTTGTGGTACTAGAAGTGATGTAGCAGTATCCATAGTAAAAGTATGTGGAGTATTGTGAAGTATTGTGTAGTATTGTGTAGTATAGCAGTGGACCTGAATGCTTTATGGAGGTAGTAAACAGTAGAAGGTACTCCTCGACGAGACGGTTGATGTACACAAAGTACAAGAGCCAAACCACTTTCTTATTAATTAAATGCCTTTATTGATCACAGCATTAACTTAAAAGACCTGACTGCACTCCCAGGCATTTCAGCCAATAGGCCTTCATCAGGGGATGGGGTCGCAGCAGCAGCAGCAGCAGCAGCAGCAGCAGCAGTAGTAGTAGTAGTAGTAGGAGCAGTAGTAGTTGTAGTGTAGCAGTAGCATTAGTAGAAGTTGTAGTAGCAGGTGGCAGTAGTCGCAGTAGTAGTAGTAGTAGTTGCAGTAGCAGTAGTAGCAGTAGTAGTAGTAGTAGTAGTAGTAGTAGTGTAGCAGTAGCAATAGAAATAGTTGAAGTAGAAGTAGTAGTTGCAGTAGTAGCAGTAGTAGTTGCAGTAGTAGTTGCAGTAGTAGTTGCAGTAGCAGTAGTAGTTGCAGTAGTAGCAGCAGTAGCAGTAGTAGTTGCAGTAGTAGTTGCAGTAGCAGTAGTAGTTGCAGTAGTAGTTGCAGTAGCAGTAGTAGTTGCAGTAGTAGTAACTGCTTCCTGCTTTTGAAGAGAGCAGTCGTGTGTCTCTCGGCTCTGCTTTTGCTTCGCCTTTTAATCTCCTTGAATCATTTTATTTACATTTTTTTGTTTCTCCTTTAATCATTTTATTTACAAAACGAGGATTACTCCTTCTACACACTTCAGCTTTGTGGAATTTATCAACTTTAGTCATGTCGGGACGAAAGAGACAGAGAAGCGTCTGCGGTGGCTGTTGTGCTTTGGAAAATCAGCTCAAATCTCTTCAAACACGGATATCTATTGTGGAAACAGAAATAGGACTAAACCCGACTCTTCCAATGAGTGAAAATGGGATGAATGGACAGACTGGAAATGTAAGTTATGACGTCATTTCTTTTCCCAAAATCAACAATGAGAATTATTGGAACAATTGTGGAGCTAAACCCAAAGTTGACAAAGCTAAGAATGACAATAGGAGTGAAATAAGGCCACAACTAAATGTTCTGAAGACTTCAAACCGCTTTTTACCCCTTTCTGAAACAACAAAGCCGCTAACAACTGCAGCGCCTCCACCAAGGACAAACTGTGTCCTTATCGGAGATGGTTCGGTGAAAAATGTAAACATGGAGTCCATGCTCACTGTCTCAGTTCACTCTGCAAAAGTTGCTGAGATAAGGACTCTTCTGCCTAAAGTGTTATCTGAGAACAGTGGTGTGCGTACATTATTGATCCACACGGGGGCGGTAGATATCTATGAGAAGGCAAGCGAGAAGTTACGAATGGATTTAACGCTGTTACTGGATGACCTCAAGAAAATGGACATAACAATTTTCCTTAGTGGCCCACTTCCAAATATAGATGGAAAAATGGAGAAGTTTAGCCGTCTGTATCAGCTAAATACATTCCTACTCAATGAGTGTTCACGCAGAGGACTTGGCTTCATTGAAAACTTTAACCTGTTCTGGAATAGGCACGAGCTTTTTGAAGAAAAAGGCCCACATCTGAACAACTACGGAGTAAAAGTGCTGATGGATAACTTTGCATCTGCCCTAAGACCTCAGCCTGCGCAGCGCGTGCAGCCGTCGAAAGGGAGAAAGAAGAAGCAAAGGGCACAGACATCACGACCATCTCCACCGACTCCCGAGGTCTCTGCACCCCCACCGCCTCAAAAGAACTCCACACCTCCACGATTCAAGAAGAACTCAACACCTCCAAGGTTCCAAAAGAACTCAACACCTCCACGGCTCCGAAAGAGCTCAACGCCTCCACCACCAGCATCATCAGCAGCTGCCACATCTTCATCAGCGCCATCAGCATATACAGCACCACCAGCAGCAGTGGATACAGCCGCAGCAGTGGCTGCTCCATCATCTTCAGCAGCAGCAGTGGCTGCTCCATCATCTTCAGCAGCACCTTCCCCACCTACAGCTCCCGTGAAGCTTCCCCCATTGCTCCAGGCTACAGACAGACCTGTACTGGGGGTTCCTCAACCACCTCTGTCTCCACCAAAGACTCCCTCATCACCTTCCATGGACCCGGCTTGGGTCCCCCCCGCTACATCCACTCCATCTAGGGAAAATGAGGACGACCTTTCCCTTTGTTTTCTATCCCCGCCTTCACTACTGGAATTACCGGAACACTCGGCAGGCATGATAAGATCGGCGATGAAGACTATTCCTCTCACACCCACTGTAGCCAGATCAAGAGTCCTATCTAACATTCAAAACTACTCCCCATACGTACCTCCAAAGCCACCTAGGGCATCCAACTCAAATTCTCCCACAAAATCCACCCGTCCCTCCTCTAACACCATAAGTATTCCACCCCCCCCTCCTGCTCATTTAGCCCACCTCCCCCCTAACTCAGCACCAAGAAACCCTCCACCTCCACTCCCCCCTCGTCCACCACCCAACTCAGCCTGCCCCTCCCCTAACCCATCACCAAAAACCCATCCACCTTCAACCCCTCCCCGTCCAACTCCCAAGAACCACCCGCCTCTCCATCCTCCTCCCCCGCCTTCCCCTTCCCCTCTTTTCTCTAAACACTAGGATGCACAGGGTCTCTGCTTCGCAGCCACTGGCAGTCTAGTTAGAGGAGAGACCCGGCTGGGGCCCTGTCATGAAGCCACCTGTGCCATTCCTTTAGTGATAACACAAAGAATACATTACAGAAAAACATCTGAAGTTAATCAGTCTAATCAGGAAAATCTAATTCTTGTTCCGTGTAAGAATCAGCCGACCACAACCGCTGATACTGAAACTTTGAAACTTGCTATGCTAAATGTCAGATCTCTTTGTAACAAGTCTTTTTTAATCAATAATTTTATTTGTTCTTATAATCTAGATCTTATGTTCATGGCTGAAACATGGCTTGACCAAAATACAGAAAATGCAGTTTTAATAGAAGCATCACCACCAAATTTCAAATTTGAATCTGAAATACGGGGAAACAAAAAAGGTGGAGGCTTAGCTGCCATTTTCAGAGACCACTTTGTCTCCCATAGAATGTCTCTTGGGAAGTTTCCGTCTTTTGAATATGTGTCTTTTAAAATACAACAAAAACAATCTAGTCCAATACTCTTCATTGTCCTATACAAGCCACCGCAGTCATGTCACAGATTTATTGATAATTTTACGGAGTTGCTTTCAGTTTTATGCACAGATTTTGATAGCTTAGTTATTACAGGGGATTTTAATATTCATGTGGATAATGTTATTGACAGAAAGGCAAAAGAGCTGAGTTCTGTTCTTGAATCTTTTGGTCTCACTCAGCATGTGAGTGGCCCCACCCACAGCAGAGGGCACACTCTAGACCTGTTAGTTACTAAGGGGGTGAATATTTCAAATGTAAACGTGGTCGATGTTGCGCTTTCGGATCATTTTTGTGTATTTTTTGACATGTGTTTCACTAACAAACCACCAGTGGACTCTGCAACTGTACGAAGAAGACACATAAATGAAAATACGGGTGAACTATTTATGGGAATGATAAACTTTGAGAATGCATCGTATTCTACTGTAGATGAACTGTTTAACTCTGTCACCTCTAGTGTTTTGAATGTTCTGGACACCATCGCTCCTGTGAAGGTTAAAATAGTGAAAAATAAGCAGAAGGCGCCGTGGGCTAAAGCAGACTCGGTCAGGGCACAAAAGAGAGAGTGCCGGAGGGCCGAGCGGAAGTGGCGCAAGTCCAACCTCCAGGTTGATTACAAGATCTTCAAGGATAAGTTGTGCAAGTTTAACCAGGTGCTACGTAGTACGAGAGAAAGGTATTTTTCTGAAATGATTGAAGGCTGCAGCAACAATCTGCGTGTTCTGTTTTCAACAGTTAATAGATTAACAAACCCCCCTGTTCAGATGCCATTAGAGCTAACTTCCAAACGTAAATGTAATGAGTTTGCACATTTTTTCAATGACAAGGTTCAAGGCATCAAAAACGCCATTGTCTCCAATCCACAGATAACCATCCAACAGCCTAAAAGGCTCTTTGAGCTAACTTACTTTGCACCTGTAAATGATCAAACTGTCCAAGAGATAATCTCCAGTCTGAGCGCCTCCACATGTAGCCTGGATGTACTACCCACTAGATTTCTAAAGTCTGTTCTGAGCAGTCTGATACCTTCACTCACACAGATAGTAAACATGTCCCTTCATTCTGGAATATTCCCAAAGGCCCTGAAAACTGCAGTCATCAGGCCCCTGCTAAAAAAGAGCAGTCTGGATGCTACGGTACTTAACAACTACCGTCCCATCTCAAATCTGCCATTTATGGGGAAAGTCCTTGAAAAAGTTGTCTACCAACAGCTAAATAGATTTCTTATAATCAACAACTCATTTGATATGTTTCAGTCCGGCTTTAGACCCCACCACAGCACTGAGACTGCTCTCGTCAAGGTTACAAACGATATCCGGCTAAACACTGACGCAGGCAAAGTCTCAATCCTAATCCTGTTAGATCTGAGTGCTGCCTTTGACACTGTCGACCATGAGATCCTCTTACAGAGACTAGAGGACTGGGTTGGCGTCGCTGGCACCGCCCTAAGTTGGTTTAGGTCTTACCTTGAAGACAGGAAGTACTTTGTGGAGATTGGAAACTGTGTCTCAGATCATATGGCCCTGACCTGTGGAGTCCCACAGGGGTCGATCCTGGGACCTCTTCTGTTCAATCTCTACATGCTGCCGTTAGGTCAGTTAATACGCAGAAACAAAGTTTCCTATCATAACTATGCAGACGACACTCAGATCTATGTCTCACTGACTGCAGGAGAACATGGACCAGTGGACTCACTCCTTCACTGTATCCAACAGATCAGTGAGTGGATGCAAAACAACTTCCTTCAGCTAAACGCAGACAAAACTGAAATGATTGTCTTTGGTCCCCAGAAACAAAGAGAGAGCGTCATCTGTCACCTCCAGTCTCTCTCCCTAAAACCTTCAAACAAGGTCAGAAATCTAGGGGTAATACTGGACTCAGACTTAAATTTTAATAGCCACATCAAATCAGTAACATCAGCAGCTTTTTACCATCTAAAAAACATTTCCAGGATCAAAAACATAGTGTCTAAAGCAGACCTGGAGATTCTTATCCATGCATTTGTCTCCAGTAGGTTAGACTACTGCAATGGCCTGCTCACAGGTCTGTCCAAACAGGCTGTAAAACAGCTGCAGTACATTCAAAATGCAGCAGCTCGAGTCCTGACTAGAACCAGGAAGTACGACCACATTAGTCCTGACTAGAACCAGGAAGTACGACCACATTAGTCCTGACTAGAACCAGGAAGTACGACCATATTAGTCCGGTCCTCAGGTCTCTGCACTGGCTTCCTGTGGCTCAGAGAATAGACTTTAAAACAGCTTTGCTTGTGTACAAGTCTCTCCATGGCCTCGCACCAAAATATATTAGTGACATGTTAGTCCCATATGAACCAGCCCGGACTCTGAGGAGCACAGGGACTGGACTCCTGCTGGGACTCTGAGGAGCACAGGGACTGGACTCCTGTTAGTGCCCAGAGTCAGAACTAAACATGGGGAGGCTGCTTTTCAGATTCATGCTGCTAAAATCTGGAACATTCTTCCTGAAGATGTGAGACAGGCCTCCTCTCTGACTATGTTTAAAACCAAGTTAAAGACTGTGCTGTTTAGCTGTGCATACAACTGAGGGATTTTATACTTTTATCTTTCTTTTTAATGTTCTGTGATTATTTATGATTTTAATGCTATCTTGTTCAGCACTTTGAGTTGCCTTGTGTATGAATTGTGCTATACAAATAAACTTGCCTTGCCTTGCCTAGTTGCAGTAGCAGTAGCAGTAGCAGTAGTAGTTGCAGTAGCAGTTCTTCCACCAGAAAAGAGCAAGAGCTGGTTACCATAGCAACACACTGTTTACCTGACAGCAGTTAGCATGTAGCTTAGCATGTGGCTAACTAATGCATTATTGACACCGTTTTTATGGGAATTTTTACAGTATTTTTTTTATTTGAATGGGGTCAGTCAGCATTACTGCTCAGTGCTCACCAATCTGTTTGAAGAGAATCTATTGTTAGTCATTTAAAGTAACTGCTTCATAGTAAAGTAAAGTACACGGCTGGTTGTGAGTCTAAATAACAGCTTTATGCTCTGATCCAGACTGTCTTTGACTCCTCCATAATCACACCGTAAACGTCTGTTATTATTTTACAAACCTCTTTAAGCACTCGTCTCCTCCCACCTTTCATTTGCTCCCACTCACTCAGAGTAAAAGACTGCACAACATGTGAGAGTGTGTGTGTGTGTGTCTCTGTCTGTGTGTGTGTCTCTCTCTGTCTGTGTGTGTGTCTCTCTCTGTCTGTGTGTGTGTGTCTCTCTCTGTCTCTGTGTGTGTGTCTCTCTCTGTGTGTGTGTGTGTCTCTCTCTGTGAGTGTCTCTCTCTGTCTGTGTGTGTGTGTCTCTCTCTGTCTCTGTGTGTGTGTCTCTCTCTGTGTGTGTGTGTGTCTCTCTCTGTGAGTGTCTCTCTCTGTCTGTGTGAGTGTCTCTCTCTGTCTGTGTGTGTGTGTCTCTCTCTGTCTCTGTGTGTGTCTCTCTCTGTCTGTGTGTGTGTGTCTCTCTCTGTCTCTGTGTGTGTCTCTCTCTGTGTGTGTCTCTCTCTGTCTGTGAGTGTCTCTCTCTGTCTGTGTGTGTGTCTCTCTCTGTCTCTGTGTGTGTGTGTGTCTCTCTCTGTCTCTGTGTGTGTCTCTCTCTGTCTCTGTGTGTGTCTCTCTCTGTCTGTGAGTGTCTCTCTCTGTCTGTGTGTGTGTCTCTCTCTGTCTGTGTGTGTGTTTCTCTCTGTCTCTGTGTGTGTCTCTCTCTGTCTCTGTGTGTGCGTGTCTCTGTCTGTGTGTGTGTCTCTCTCTGTCTCTCTCTGTGTGTGTCTCTGTCTGTGTGTGTGTCTCTCTCTGTGAGTGTCTCTCTCTGTCTCTGTGTGTGTGTCTCTCTCTGTCTCTCTCTGTGTGTGTCTCTCTCTGTCTCTCTCTGTGTGTGTCTCTCTGTCTGTGTGTGTGTCTCTCTCTGTCTGTGTGTGTGTCTCTCTCTCTCTGTGAGTGTCTCTCTCTGTCTGTGTGTGTGTCTCTCTCTGTCTGTGTGTGAGTGTCTCTCTCTGTCTGTGTGTCTCTCTCTGTCTCTGTGTGTGTGTCTCTCTCTGTGAGTGTGTGTGTCTCTCTCTGTCTCTGTGTGTGTGTGTCTCTGTCTGTGTGTGTGTCTCTCTCTGTCTGTGTGTGTGTCTCTCTGTCTGTGTGTGTGTCTCTCTCTGTCTGTGTGTGTGTTTGTCTCTCTCTGTCTGTGTGTGTGTGTGTCTCTCTCTCTGTCTGTGTGTCTCTCTCTGTGTCTCTCTCTCCCTCCCTCTCTCCCTCTTGTGTGTGTGTGTCTCTCTCTCTGTCTGTGTGTGTGTGTGTCTCTGTCTGTGTGTCTCTCTCTCTGTCTCTCTCTGTGTGTCTCTCTCTCCCTCCCTCTCTCCCTCTTGTCTGTGTGTGTCTCTCTCTGTCTGTGTGTGTCTCTCTCTGTCTGTGTGTGTGTCTCTCTCTCCCTCCCTCTCTCTCATTGTGTGTGTGTGTGTGTGTGTGTGTGTGTGTGTGTGTGTGTGTGTGTCCCTCCCTCTCTCTCTCTGTGATGATGCGTGGTGCTGACTGGGCTGTGGGAGGGCGCACTCAGGACAGAGGCAGGAGGACCGGCCACAGGAGCACATACAGCTCTCTGACAGCTCTCTGACAGCTCTATGACAGCTCTATGACAGCTCTATGGTAGCTCTATGGTAGCTCTCTGACAGCTCTCTGGTAGCTCTCCTCTCTTGCCAAACTCCCTGACCATGCCAGGACACGGACGGGGCGGATGACCGAACAGAGCGCGCTTGTTGTCCTCTTCTCTCGCTGTTTATACCCTCCATCCCTCCTCCATCCCTCCTCCATCCCTCCATCCTCCGCGATGTCTCCGGATCTCCCCACAGCCGTGCGCCTTCCTCCGCCACGGACCCCAACGCACTCCGCTGATCCAGCCCCGACGCAATAAAACCTCATCATGGAGAAGAAGCGAAGCGAAGCCGCGTCCACAGACCAGAGGAAGAAGCCCAAACCCGGCAGGCTGTTCCGCAAGAAGCCGCTCAGATCCGTGGGGACTTTCATGAACAAGATCCTCAAAAGTTTCGGGACTTTGGGGCAGTTTGGGAGCGCGGCTGGGGACGTGGAGGATGACGATGGGGGATTCCGAAACGGGACGCAGTGCACTTTAAACGTGTGCAAAACGACTTCTCTGCTACAGGAGTCCCACTCGACCGCCCGCGGGTCTCTGTGCACCGGACGCGACAAGCTGTGGAGCCAGTACGGGGACCGGACCCCCGGGGCGCTGGGCCTCAAGAACCACGGGAACACCTGCTTCATGAACGCCGTGGTGCAGTGCCTGAGTAACACTGATCTGCTGGCGGAGTATTTGGGGCTGGAGAAGTACAAGCTGGACGTGAGGGGGGAGGTTAAAGGGGAGGGGGTGAAGGGGGAGGTCACGGGCCAGTTGGCGGCGTTGGTGCGTGCGCTGTGGACGCTGGAGTATAAGCCGCAGATGTCAGTGGAGTTTAAGGTAAGAGTTCATCAGGTGTCACTGTGTTTTCAATGTAGTGTGTTTCAGGGACGTGCGGTGAGGTTTGTGATTGGGGAGGCACTGACTTTAAAAGTCAGATTTACAATCATTATTCAAATAAAATAGCATTTAATCACCAATGCAATGACATCCACAAACTTTATATACTGTAAAGATAAGAGAACCAGCTTCTTTTAATAATCTCACAACAAATCTAGCTGCTGACTCTGCTCCGCATCAAACAACATCTTTAAGAAGCGCAGGTGCGAGAGACGCGAGGAGAGAGAGACGCGAGGAGAGAGGAGCAGAGAGAGACAGAGAGGAGCAGAGAGACGGAGACGCGAGGAGCAGAGAGAGACGGAGACGCGAGGAGAGAGAGACGCGAGGAGAGAGGAGCAGAGAGAGACAGAGAGGAGCAGAGAGACGGAGACGCGAGGAGCAGAGAGAGACGGAGACGCGAGGAGAGAGAGACGCGAGGAGAGAGGAGCAGAGAGAGACAGAGAGGAGCAGAGAGACGGAGACGCGAGGAGCAGAGAGAGACGGAGACGCGAGGAGAGAGAGACGCGAGGAGAGAGAGACGCGAGGAACATAAACAATAATTTAAACAAGTTGCAGAACTCTTGAGCAGTGTTTGAATCAGTGTTTTTCGGAAAAGCACTACTTTGCCGGTATCTGTCAATGTTCAACATAAAACACAGATTAACAAACTCCTCCCCCGCAGCCGGACTAACCTCGTAAGTCCAGTGGTGGTCTCCCAGTCTATATTAATTCTTTCTTTGTTTGAAAGTCCAATTGAGAAAAAAAATCTTCATTCAAATCATCCATTTTCCAGCAAAAGAAATAGCATTTTGGGCTGATTGTTTGTTAGCAACTCTGGTATGAACTTTATGCTCACTATCACCCCTAGCGGTGAGGCACAGATACCGCCTGCCTCACGCCAAGCTTTTTCCTTGTGTGTTCATCTACGATCAAAAGACTTAAACTAAATATAAATTGTACACACATACGTGCAATACACTACTAAACACACTAAGAGGAGTTTAAAAAATGTTTTTTAAAGCAGGATATTTGAAACAAACGGTGATATATCAACTGCACGAGCTGAGTGCACTCAGACACACACACACACACTGTGAGGGAGCGGTCTGAGGTGAGGCACGCAGGAGCGCTGCCTCACCTCGTCTCTTTGAATAGGAATAACGGGATTTCGGCGATTTTGACTTCAGAAATGATCAAAACTGATGGGAACCGTGCCGAATATACATTAAAAGCATAGGACAGTGGATATAAATTATATATTTAAACTAAAATAATTATTAGTTTCCAATAATGGCAGGTGAGGCTCTGCCTCCCCTGCCTCCCCTGACTGCACGTCCCTGGTGTGTTTGTGTGTCGCCCTCAATCACAACAGATCAGAGAATCAAAGTTAGAACACATGATGACGAATACAAAGAGAGAGAGAGCCAGGACTGAGGCTGTAGATCCAGGACTGAGGCTGTAGATCCAGGACTGAGGCTGTAGATCCAGGACTGAGGCTGTAGACCCAGAACTGAGGCTGTAGACCCAGGACTGAGGCTGTAGATCCAGGACTGAGGCTGTAGACCCAGAACTGAGGCTGTAGACCCAGGACTGAGGCTGTAGACCCAGGACTGAGGCTGTAGACCCAGGACTGAGGCTGTAGATCCAGGACTGAGGCTGTAGACCCAGGACTGAGGCTGTAGACCCAGGACTGAGGCTGTAGACCCAGGACTGAGGCTGTAGATCCAGGACTGAGGCTGTAGACCCAGGACTGAGGCTGTAGACCCAGGACTGAGGCTGTAGACCCAGGACTGAGGTTGTAGACCCAGGACCCAGTCAGAGCTGCACCCAGTACACATAGCACCAGCCCCCTTTTCTATTTACCTTTCGTAAATAAAGGCCAAATCTGTGTAGTGTTTGACTTAGGCCATGTTTATACTGAGACGCTGCGCAGACGTTTCCAGGCTATTAACAGAAACGACCTGGCTCCTAATGCAAATTTCTCTGCATTCACATGAGGTTGAAAAACGATGTAGTTCTAGCGCCCGGCCAGTAGGGGGCAGAGAAACTTTACAACACGACAGATGACCCCCAGCCCCGTGCCCCATGCCGCCCCCCCCCCCCCCACGGCAGTATATTCACTTCCTGTGCCAGACCCTCAGAACGTACCAACATCATTCTTTAACAGCAGCTGTGAAAATGGAAACTGAACCTAGAGCTTCGCGTGGTCTCGTTTGGACGAACGAAGGAGTAGAATTATTCTGTGCCGCGCTGGAAGCCCACGAAGCTAGTTAGTGTGACCGCCGCCATTGTTGTTGATGTTGGTTCTCCGCTACTGCGCATGTCCAAATGTACGTGCGGGAGCAGCAGGAGGTGGGGGTCAGAGCAGAGGAGGTGGGGGTCAGAGCAGAGGAGGTGGGGTCAGAGCAGCAGGAGGTGGGGGTCAGAGCAGAGGAGGTGGGGTCAGAGCAGCAGGAGGTGGGGGTCAGAGCAGCAGGAGGTGGGGTCAGAGCAGCAGGAGGTGGGGGTCAGAGCAGAGGAGGTGGGGTCAGAGCAGCAGGAGGTGGGGTCAGAGCAGCAGGAGGTGGGGGTCAGAGCAGAGGAGGTGGGGGTCAGAGCAGCAGGAGGTGGGGGTCAGAGCAGCAGGAGGTGGGGGTCAGAGCAGCAGGAGGTGGGGGTCAGAGCAGAGGAGGTGGGGTCAGAGCAGCAGGAGGTGGGGGTCAGAGCAGCAGGAGGTGGGGGTCAGAGCAGAGGAGGTGGGGTCAGAGCAGCAGGAGGTGGGGGTCAGAGCAGAGGAGGTGGGGGTCAGAGCAGAGGAGGTGGGGTCAGAGCAGCAGGAGGTGGGGGTCAGAGCAGCAGGAGGTGGGGGTCAGAGCAGAGGAGGTGGGGGTCAGAGCAGAGGAGGTGGGGTCAGAGCAGCAGGAGGTGGGGGTCAGAGCAGAGGAGGTGGGGGTCAGAGCAGAGGAGGTGGGGTCAGAGCAGCAGGAGGTGGGGGTCAGAGCAGAGGAGGTGGGGTCAGAGCAGAAGGAGGTGGGGGTCAGAGCAGAGGAGGTGGGGTCAGAGCAGCAGGAGGTGGGGGTCAGAGCAGAGGAGGTGGGGGTCAGAGCAGAGGAGGTGGGGTCAGAGCAGCAGGAGGTGGGGGTCAGAGCAGAGGAGGTGGGGTCAGAGCAGCAGGAGGTGGGGGTCAGAGCAGAGGAGGTGGGGTCAGAGCAGCAGGAGGTGGGGGTCAGAGCAGAGGAGGTGGGGGTCAGAGCAGAGGAGGTGGGGGTCAGAGCAGCAGGAGGTGGGGGTCAGAGCAGCAGGAGGTGGGGTCAGAGCAGCAGGAGGTGGGGGTCAGAGCAGCAGGAGGTGGGGGTCAGAGCAGAGGAGGTGGGGGTCAGAGCAGCAGGAGGTGGGGGTCAGAGCAGCAGGAGGTGGGGGTCAGAGCAGCAGGAGGTGGGGGTCAGAGCAGCGGGGGATTTCACACCTTTCTCCCTCTCGCGGGTGTGAAAGAGCCCCCGCTGTGCAGCGTATCTGAGTTGTCCCACTCTGAGGCTGGATCTGAACACTTACGTTTTGACCCCCCTGGATCACAGTCTTCGTATGAACGGTTGGTAGAAACCGACATCCAACTATAGCGTTTTACTGCCACATTGTCTCCGTGTAAACTCAGCCTAATATTTGCCCCATAGATTCCTCGAGGTGAGCTGTGGATGTCAGTGTTCTCTTGTTGGAGGTGTGAGTTTGGGTAAACAGCTGTGTCTTGGTAGATTTGCAGTGGTGCCATACTCTTTCATATGGAAAACATCTCCTTACAGCTCTTGTCCGTGTGAATTTAGGCTGCAGTACTGCGGGTGGCCTCTAGTCTATGTGTAGATAATAAACTCCTTCCATGATTCGTCTCCGGGTCCTGGTCTTGTTTTGAGGCCAGCTCCCGGTGAGGGCCTCAGACTGAGCGAGTGGCGCCTCAGATAATCACATGTTATTTAGTCGTTAGTGGCTCAGAACATGAATTATATTTAGAATCATGACGGAGCACAGGCCACACACCAACACCTCATTACACTGAGGGCAAGCTCCACAGATCTGACTCACCCCAGAGAGATACTGCTATCAACTGTCAAACTGGGCTTTTCAACGTCTCTTTCTTGGGATGTGGCGCCCCCTGCAGGTGAAAGCTAGACCTCTGAAGCTAAGCAGGGCAGGGCCTGGTTAGTACTGGGAATGCCAGGTGCCACAGACATCTGTCAGTGTGCCCCAGGGCAGCTGTGGCTAAAGAAGTAGTTTTGCACCGTCTGTGTAACAAATAAACTGCCATTGACGTATTTGTCTGAGGCCCTGGGGATTACAGGACAATAAAAATAGCTAGAAACAAACTTATTTTTGCTGATCATCAAAGACACTCCAGTCTTTCAGAATCATATTACACATAGCCTTAGGAAATAATCTTCTGTGGGTCTTGAGAATCAGTGATATCATCAAAAACAGCTGGCAGTCAATGAGTTAATGCTGATTTTGTAGTCGTAGAAATGCACTGGTTTTGCCCTTTAATGTTCTTTCTGAATGAGAACTTTGATTTGATGATTTTTAGTTTTGTATTTTGGGATTTTATGTGATTTTTAATTTCATGTATTTATTTTTTCTGAAAGTTCCATCTTTAACGGTTTGCCTGGTAACCAACATTCTATGACAGTTAAAGCCCCTTTCCCCAAGGTCCTGGTCCTGGACTGGTTCTGATTCTGAGCCGAGTTACCATAGCAACACACTGTTTACTGGCAGCAGTTAGCATGTAGCCTTTCCAGTTTCATTCACCGGGTTTAGCAGTTATTAACAGTGAGTAAAAGCTAAAAACTTCATAAATATCTTTAAATACATTTTTTTTTCAGAGTTTTATTGATTTCAAAGAGAGGTGTCAAAATGACTGCCGTGGGAGTCCTGGCGTTAAACATGGCCTGTATGTTCCTGTGGCACTGCATGTTGGGTAATAGCCCAGCTGCTCTGGAGCCGCACAGGCAATAATCTGCAGCTTTAGCCTCAATCAACGAGGTTTTATTCTCTGCACAGTCTGAGAAAGTCATTAAGCAGAAAGGCCTCCTCTGGACTCAGCAGAACAGTTCAAGGCTCTTCCTTCACTGACGTCTCGAGCATCTCTTCCTAAAGCTCCACTTCAGACGCACATGTGGCATTTACGGTCTGTGATTTAGAAGTGGCACTGTCATTAAAGGTAAAACGTGATCTGCCTGTAGCTCCCCAAGCGGCCACCAGAGGGAGAGGGGGAACTTGTTTGCTTTTTTCTTCCCTATTTTGATAATCACCGGTTGCAAAAGTCAGTTCACCGAAGGAAATACAAAAACTAATGTATGGGCAATACTGGTCTCACTCTCTCTCTCTGGTCTCTCTTTGGTCTCTCTTTGGTCCCTCTCCGGTCTCTCTCTGGTCCCTCTCTGGTCCCTGTCTCTCTCTGGTCTCTCTCTAGTCTCTCTTTGGTCTCTCTCTGGTCCCTCTCTGGTCCCTCTCTGGTCTCTCTCTTTGGTCTCTGGTCTCTCTCTAGTCTCTCTTTGGTCTCTCTCTGGTCTCTTTCTAGTCTCTAGTCTCTCTCTAATCTCTCTTTGGTCTCTCTCTGGTCCCTTTCTGGTCCCTCTCTTTGGTCTCTCTCTGGTCTCTCTCTGGTCTCTTTCTGGTCTCTAGTCTCTCTCTAGTCTCTCTTTGGTATCTCTCTGGTCCCTTTCTGGTCCCTCTCTGGTCTCTCTCTGGTCTCTCTCTAGTCTCTCTTTGGTCTCTGGTCTCTCTCTAGTCTCTCTTTGGTCTCTCTCTCGTCTCTTTCTGGTCTCTCTTTGGTCTCTCTCTGGTCTCTTTCTGGTCTCTCTTTGGTCTCTCTCTGGTCTCTTTCTGGTCTCTCTTTGGTCTCTCTCTCTTTCTCCCTCTGTGGTCTCTCTCTGTGCTCTCTCTCTCTCTCTGTACTCTGTCTTCAGAGCTGAGTTTGCATGTTCTCCCTGTGGTTTCTCTGGAATGCTGTGTTTTCCTCCTGAGCAGCTGTGGTCAGTGTTTGTGGAGTCACCTGTGGATCTCACATGGTTCAGTCTGAAACATCAGTGAAGATCTGATTTAAAGAGACAGTAACATGTGTTAGTGCTTCACACTCACACATGCAGCTCCAAAGCACTGATACACACATGTGTCATGTGACTGTTAGAGACACATGCGTCATGTGACTGTTAGAGACACATGTGTCATGTGACTGTTAGAGACACATGTGTCATGTGACTGTTAGAGACACATGCGTCATGTGACTGTTAGAGACACATGTGTCATGTGACTGTTAGAGACACATGTGTCATGTGACTGTTAGAGACACATGTGTCATGTGACTGTTATAGACACATGTGTCATGTGACTGTTATAGACACATGCGTCATGTGACTGTTAGAGACACATGTGTCATGTGACTGTTAGAGACACATGTGTCATGTGACTGTTAGAGACACATGCGTCATGTGACTGTTAGAGACACATGTGTCATGTGACTGTTAGAGACACATGTGTCATGTGACTGTTAGAGACACATGTGTCATGTGACTGTTAGAGACACATGTGTCATGTGACTGTTATAGACACATGTGTCATGTGACTGTTATAGACACATGCGTCATGTGACTGTTAGAGACACATGTGTCATGTGACTGTTAGAGACACATGTGTCATGTGACTGTTATAGACACATGCGTCATGTGACTGTTAGAGACACATGTGTCATGTGACTGTTAGAGACACATGTGTCATGTGACTGTTATAGACACATGCGTCATGTGACTGTTAGAGACACATGTGTCATGTGACTGTTAGAGACACATGTGTCATGTGACTGTTATAGACACATGTGTCATGTGACTGTTATAGACACATGTGTCATGTGACTGTTAGAGACACATGTGTCATGTGACTGTTATAGACACATGTGTCATGTGACTGTTAGAGACACATGTGTCATGTGACTGTTAGAGACACATGTGTCATGTGACTGTTATAGACACATGTGTGTCATGTGACTGTTATAGACACATGTGTCATGTGACTGTTAGAGACACATGTGTCATGTGACTGTTATAGACACATGTGTCATGTGACTGTTATAGACACATGTGTCATGTGACTGTTATAGACACATGTGTGTCATGTGACTGTTATAGACACATGTGTCATGTGACTGTTAGAGACACATGTGTCATGTGACTGTTATAGACACATGTGTCATGTGACTGTTAGAGACACATGTGTCATGTGACTGTTATAGACACATGTGTCATGTGACTGTTAGAGACACATGTGTGTCATGTGACTGTTATACTGCGACGGCACGGTGGCTGAGTGGATAGCACTCTCGCCTCTCAGCAAGAAGGTCCTGGGTTCGAATCCCGGTCGGACCAGGGCCTTTCTGAGTGGAGTTTGCATGTTCTCCCCGTGTCTGTGTAGGTTTCCTCCGGGTACTCCGGTTTCCCCTACCACTAAAAATATGTCCAATAGTTCTGGCATGCGCCTCCTGTACTGGCCGCTCCCATCTCCATCCAAATGCCCAAAATTAACAATTGTAAACCGCTTTGAGACTCGGATCTGCAGTGAAAAGGCGGTATATAAATAAAGATTACTATTACTTATAGACACATTTCCTGGGTGGTGTATGAAACAGTTTGTGAAAGTGATACTTGAATAATTATATATATGTTATAAATATTATACATAATAATTATGGTTTTATGACCTCTGGCCCCAAAACGGCCTCTTCAAATGTTATGCTTAGAAAGAAATGATAAAAACGATAAGGAAGTTTATGGATCAGAGCCAAGAGTGTGCAGTGATCAGTGGAGAGAAGTCTTTACTTTGTTTGTTTATAACAACAACAAACGACTGAGACTGTAGACCCAGGACTGAGACTGTAGATCCAGGACTGAGGCTGTAGACCCAGGACTGAGGCTGTAGACCCAGGACTGAGGCTGTAGACCCAGGACTGAGACTGTAGACCCAGGACTGAGGCTGTAGACCCAGGACTGAGGCTGTAGACCCAGGACGAGGCTGTAGACCCAGGACTGAGGCTGTAGACCCAGGACTGAGGCTGTAGACCCAGGACTGAGGCTGTAGACCCAGGACTGAGACTGTAGACCCAGGACTGAGGCTGTAGACCCAGGACTGAGGCTGTAGACCCAGGACTGAGGCTGTAGACCCAGGACTGAGGCTGTAGACCCAGGACTGAGGCTGTAGACCCAGGACTGAGGCTGTAGACCCAGGACTGAGACTGTAGACCCAGGACTGAGGCTGTAGACCCAGGACTGAGGCTGTAGACCCAGGACTGAGGCTGTAGACCCAGGACTGAGGCTGTAGACCCAGGACTGAGGCTGTAGACCCAGGACTGAGACTGTAGACCCAGGACTGAGGCTGTAGACCCAGGACTGAGACTGTAGACCCAGGACTGAGGCTGTAGACCCAGGACTGAGGCTGTAGACCCAGGACTGAGGCTGTAGACCCAGGACTGAGGCTGTAGACCCAGGACTGAGGCTGTAGACCCAGGACTGAGGCTGTAGACCCAGGACTGAGACTGTAGACCCAGGACTGAGGCTGTAGACCCAGGACTGAGGCTGTAGACCCAGGACTGAGGCTGTAGACCCAGGACTGAGGCTATAGACCCAGGACTGAGACTGTAGACCCAGGACTGAGGCTGTAGACCCAGGACTGAGACTGTAGACCCAGGACTGAGGCTGTAGACCCAGGACTGAGGCTGTAGACCCAGGACTGAGGCTGTAGACCCAGGACTGAGGCTGTAGACCCAGGACTGAGGCTGTAGACCCAGGACTGAGGCTGTAGACCCAGGACTGAGGCTGTAGACCCAGGACTGAGGCTGTAGACCCAGGACTGAGGCTGTAGACCCAGGACTGAGACTGTAGACCCAGGACTGAGGCTGTAGACCCAGGACTGAGACTGTGTAGAGATGAGTTTACTGTCACCTTTTCCACACTGTACTAGAGACATTCCCAAAGTCCCTCTGTAACATCATCCAGCCAACTCCAGCTTGGTCAAATGTGAATTGATATGAATCCAGTCCAGACTAAAGCACAGTGTGGTATGCATCAATATTGACCTGTCCTTAATGGTTAACCACTCTGCCGCTGTGCTTCAAGGGCTTCTCCATGTGACATCACTGTGGTCTGTGGGAGACCAGAGAGAGACCAGAGAGAGACCAGAGAGAGACCAGAGAGAGACCAGAGAGAGAGACCAGAGAGAGACCAGAGAGAAACCAGACAGAGACCAGAGAGAGACCAGAGAGAGACCAGAGAGAGACCAGAGAGAGACCAGAGAGAGACCAGAGAGAGACCAGAGAGAGACCAGAGAGAGACCAGAGAGAGACCAGAGAGAGACCAGAGAGAGACCAGAGAGAGACCAGAGAGAGACCAGAGAGAGACCAGAGAGAGAGACCAGAGAGAGACCCAGAGAGAAACCAGACAGAGACCAGAGAGAGACCAGAGAGAGACCAGAGAGAGACCAGAGAGAGACCAGAGAGAAACCAGACAGAGACCAGAGAGAGACCAGAGAGAGACCAGAGAGAGACCAGAGAGAGACCAGAGAGAGACCAGAGAGAGAGACCAGAGAGAGACCAGAGAGAGAGACCAGAGAGAGACCAGAGAGAAACCAGACAGAGACCAGAGAGAGACCAGAGAGAGACCAGAGAGAGACCAGAGAGAGACCAGAGAGAGACCAGAGAGAGACCAGAGAGAGACCAGAGAGAGACCAGAGAGAGACCAGAGAGAGACCAGAGAGAGAGACCAGAGAGAGACCAGAGAGAAACCAGACAGAGACCAGAGAGAGACCAGAGAGAGACCAGAGAGAGACCAGAGAGAAACCAGACAGAGAGCAGAGAGAGACCAGAGAGAGGCCAGAGAGAGACCAGAAAGAGACCAGAGAGAGACCGGAGAAAGACCTGAGAGAGACCAGAGAGAGACCAGAGAGAGACCAGAGAGAAACCAAAGAGAGACCAGAGAGAGAGACCAGAGAGAGAGACCAGAGGGAGACCAGAGAGAGAGACCAGAGAGAAACCAGAGGGAGACCAGAGAGAGACCGGAGAGAGACCAGAGAGAGAGACCGGAGTGACACGAGAGAGAGACCAGAGAGAGACCAGAAAGAGACCAGAGAGAGACCGGAGAAAGACCTGAGAGAGACCAGAGAGAGACCAGAGAGAGACCAGAGAGAAACCAAAGAGAGACCAGAGAGAGAGACCAGAGAGAGACCAGAGAGAGACCAGAGAGAAACCAGACAGAGACCAGAGAGAGACCAGAGAGAGAGCAGAGAGAGACCAGAGAGAGACCAGAAAGAGACCAGAGACAGACCAGAGAGAGACCAGAGAGAGACCAGAGAGAGACCAGAGAGAGGCCAGAGAGAGACCAGAAAGAGACCAGAGACAGACCAGAGAGAGACCAGAGAGAGACCAGAGAGAGACCAGAGAGAGACCAGAGAGAAACCAAAGAGAGACCAGAGAGAGAGACCAGAGAGAGAGACCAGAGGGAGACCAGAGAGAGAGACCAGAGAGAGACCGGAGAGAGACCAGAGAGAGAGACCGGAGTGACACGAGAGAGAGACCAGAGAGAGACCAGAGAGAGAAACCAGAAAAACCAGATCAAATATGTGTGTAATCTCTGTTTCTGTAATTTGTGTGTGTACAATCTGTGTGTGTAATCTACGTATAATCTATGTGCGAGTAATCCCTGTTTGTAGTTTCTGTGTGAAATATTTCATTGTAATCTCTGTGTGTAATGTCTGTTTGTAATCTGAGTATAATCAGAGTATAATCAGAGAAATTTTTATTAGTGTAATCTGAGTGTGATCTGAGTGTAATCTGTGTGTAATCTCTGTAATCTGTGTGTACTCTGAGTGTAATCTGAGTGTAATCTGAGTATAATCTGAGTGTACTGTAATAATAGTGTAATCTGAGTGTAATCTGAGTGTAATCTGAGTATTATCTGTTGCAGACGGCCGTCTCGTCGTACGGGGCTCAGTTTCGAGGGAATGCGCAGCACGACGCTCTGGAGTTTCTGCTGTGGCTCCTGGACCGAGTCCACGAAGACGTCACACACAACAACAACAATCAGGCAAGACACACACACACACACACACACAACAACAACAACCAGGCAAGACACACACACACCCACCACACCTCTCGCCTTTTAATTCGTTCTAACTTCACACGCTCAATTTCAAATTGTAATTCTAACGATCTCAGTTGTTCATAAATCAAAGCCTGTGTCCTGCACCAGGATCAGCAGAACCAGAGGCACCTGCAGAGACTCGGGCTTGTCTCCAACACACTGAGGTCAATCAAATTCCCACCAACGTAGATCTCAAAGTTTACTTTAACCGTTTTATGTCCAGGTCATATCTCGTTCCAATGTTTACCAGTTACTCTTTGGTGCTAGGAACAAAAGCTCCTCAGAGGGAGCACCAACAAAGTCACTTTATCATGTGATCCACTCTGAGGCTTGTGATTGGCTGAATGGACCTTCAGTGAGCTACATGTATCATAGACTGAACCAGGCCTGAACCAGGACTGAACCAGGCCTGAACCAGGACTGAACCAGGACAGGACTGAACCAGGACTGAACCAGGCCTGAACCAGGACTGAACCAGGACAGGACTGAACCAGGACTGAACCAGGCCTGAACCAGGACTGAACCAGGACTGAACCAGGACATGGCTGAACCAGGACTGAACCAGGACAGGACTGAACCAGGACTGAACCAGGACTGAACCAGGACATGGCTGAACCAGGACTGAACCAGGCCTGAACCAGGACTGAACCAGGCCTGAACCAGGACTGAACCAGGACATGGCTGAACCAGGACTGAACCAGGACTGAACCAGGACTGAACCAGGACTGAACCAGGACTGAACCAGGACAGGACTGAACCAGGACTGAACCAGGCCTGAACCAGGACTGAACCAGGACAGGACTGAACCAGGACTGAACCAGGACAGGACTGAACCAGGACTGAACCAGGACTGAACCAGGACATGGCTGAACCAGGACTGAACCAGGCCTGAACCAGGTCTGAACCAGGACATGGCTGAACCAGGACTGAACCAGGACTGAACCAGGACTGAACCAGGACTGAACCAGGACTGAACCAGGACTGAACCAGGACTGAACCAGGACTGAACCAGGACAGGACTGAACCAGGACTGAACCAGGCCTGAACCAGGCCTGAACCAGGACTGAACCAGGACATGACTGAACCAGGCCTGAACCAGGCCTGAACCAGGCCTGAACCAGGACTGAACCAGGACTGAACCAGGCCTGAACCAGGACTGAACCAGGTCTGAACCAGGACATGACTGAACCAGGCCTGAACCAGGACTGAACCAGAACCAGGCCTGAACCAGGACTGAACCAGGACTGAACCAGGACTGAACCAGGACTGAACCAGGACTGAACCAGGACTGAACCAGGCCTGAACCAGGACTGAACCAGGTCTGAACCAGGACATGACTGAACCAGGCCTGAACCAGGCCTGAACCAGGCCTGAACCAGGACTGAACCAGGACTGAACCAGGCCTGAACCAGGACTGAACCAGGTCTGAACCAGGACATGACTGAACCAGGCCTGAACCAGGACTGAACCAGGCCTGAACCAGGACTGAACCAGGACTGAACCAGGACTGAACCAGGACTGAACCAGGACTGAACCAGGACTGAACCAGGACAGGACTGAACCAGGACTGAACCAGGCCTGAACCAGGACTGAACCAGGACAGGACTGAACCAGGACTGAACCAGGACAGGACTGAACCAGGACTGAACCAGGACTGAACCAGGACATGGCTGAACCAGGACTGAACCAGGCCTGAACCAGGTCTGAACCAGGACATGGCTGAACCAGGACTGAACCAGGACTGAACCAGGACTGAACCAGGACTGAACCAGGACTGAACCAGGACTGAACCAGGACTGAACCAGGACAGGCCTGAACCAGGCCTGAACCAGGACTGAACCAGGACTGAACCAGGACTGAACCAGGCCTGAACCAGGACTGAACCAGGTCTGAACCAGGACATGACTGAACCAGGCCTGAACCAGGCCTGAACCAGGCCTGAACCAGGACTGAACCAGGACTGAACCAGGCCTGAACCAGGACTGAACCAGGTCTGAACCAGGACATGACTGAACCAGGCCTGAACCAGGACTGAACCAGGCCTGAACCAGGACTGAACCAGGACTGAACCAGGACTGAACCAGGACTGAACCAGGACTGAACCAGGACTGAACCAGGACAGGACTGAACCAGGACTGAACCAGGACAGGACTGAACCAGGACTGAACCAGGACAGGACTGAACCAGGACTGAACCAGGACAGGACTGAACCAGGACTGAACCAGGACATGGCTGAACCAGGACTGAACCAGGCCTGAACCAGGTCTGAACCAGGACATGGCTGAACCAGGACTGAACCAGGACTGAACCAGGACTGAACCAGGACTGAACCAGGACTGAACCAGGACTGAACCAGGACTGAACCAGGACAGGACTGAACCAGGACTGAACCAGGCCTGAACCAGGCCTGAACCAGGACTGAACCAGGACTGAACCAGGACTGAACCAGGACTGAACCAGGCCTGAACCAGGACTGAACCAGGTCTGAACCAGGACATGACTGAACCAGGCCTGAACCAGGCCTGAACCAGGCCTGAACCAGGACTGAACCAGGACTGAACCAGGCCTGAACCAGGACTGAACCAGGTCTGAACCAGGACATGACTGAACCAGGCCTGAACCAGGACTGAACCAGGCCTGAACCAGGACTGAACCAGGACTGAACCAGGACTGAACCAGGACTGAACCAGGACTGAACCAGGACTGAACCAGGACAGAACTGAACCAGGACTGAACCAGGCCTGAACCAGGACTGAACCAGGACAGGACTGAACCAGGACTGAACCAGGACAGGACTGAACCAGGACTGAACCAGGACTGAACCAGGACATGGCTGAACCAGGACTGAACCAGGCCTGAACCAGGTCTGAACCAGGCCTGAACCAGGACTGAACCAGGACATGGCTGAACCAGGACTGAACCAGGACTGAACCAGGACTGAACCAGGACTGAACCAGGACTGAACCAGGACTGAACCAGGACTGAACCAGGACAGGACTGAACCAGGACTGAACCAGGCCTGAACCAGGCCTGAACCAGGACTGAACCAGGACTGAACCAGGACTGAACCAGGCCTGAACCAGGACTGAACCAGGTCTGAACCAGGACATGACTGAACCAGGCCTGAACCAGGCCTGAACCAGGCCTGAACCAGGACTGAACCAGGACTGAACCAGGCCTGAACCAGGACTGAACCAGGTCTGAACCAGGACATGACTGAACCAGGCCTGAACCAGGACTGAACCAGGCCTGAACCAGGACAGGACTGGACCAGGAAAGAACTGAACCAGGACTGAACCAGGACATGACTGAACCAGGACTGAACCAGGACTGAACCAGGTCTGAACCAGGTCTGAACCAGGACTGAACCAGGACTGAACCAGGTCTGAACCAGGACTGAACCAGGACTGAACCAGGCCCTTTTGGACAAAGCCAAAACAAAACAAGTTGATCTTTCGTTTCTTTGTTTGGTAGATTATATCTGAGTTGGTGTTTTTGGGTTAATGACTGTTTTGTGAATGTGAGGAGCTTTGGTGCTTGTTTACAGTATGTTTATAGTTTAGAGCAGGTCAAGGCAAGTTTATCTGTATAGCACACCTGCTTCACACAAACAGGAGACATGTTTCAAATGTCCTCTCTCTTTCCTTCTGAGGCTGATTGGAAAATACAGGATGTGAAAACTAGTGATAGAAGCAACTGTTTTAGAGCCAGGACTAGGGTTTATCTGTATAGCACAGTTCGTACATATAATATAATCATAAATAATCACAATACATTAAAAAGAGTGAAGATACAATCCTTCAGTTGTCAGAGAAGAAGCCTGTCTCACATTTTCACAAATCTGAAATGCTTCCTCCCTAAATCTATCCTGACTCTGGGACCAGCAGGAGGCCAGTCCCTGTGCTCCTCAGAGTCCCAGCAGGAGGCCAGTCCCTGTGCTCCTCAGAGTCCCAGCAGGAGGCCAGTCCCTGTGCTCCTCAGAGTCCCAGCAGGAGGCCAGTCCCTGTGCTCCTCAGAGTCCCAGCAGGAGTCCAGTCCCTGTGCTCCTCAGAGTCCCAGCAGGAGTCCTGTCCCTGTGCTCCTCAGAGTCCCAGCAGGAGGCCAGTCCCTGTGCTCCTCAGAGTCCCAGCAGGAGGCCAGTCCCTGTGCTCCTCAGAGTCCCAGCAGGAGTCCAGTCCCTGTGCTCCTCAGAGTCCCAGCAGGAGTCCAGTCCCTGTGCTCCTCAGAGTCCCAGCAGGAGTCCAGTCCCTGTGCTCCTCAGACTTGGTTCATGGCACTAACATGTGACAGATGTTAATAATTCATTTCATTTCATGGCACCTTTCAAGACACCCAGGGACGCCTTAAAATAGATTGATACACAATATTATTCTGTATTTATTATAAGAATACAGTTTATAATTAAAGCCGCAAGCGGCGTCGAACGGCCCTCGCCGCCCAACGCAACCGAGGTGGCGCTGACGCACCATTTTCCCGCAGCCCTGATGGGAGCGACACTGTGCATTTAGAATTCCTATGATCAGTGATTGTGTCTCTATTGAATAGAAAAACCTCATTCTCTCCATGTAACACTTGATTCAGTCTGTAGGGGGCGCTAATGCTGTAATTTCATAATTCATACTTTCAGTTTACCCAAACCCGAGAGTTGAACAATAAATTCAAATTTTGTGTAAATCGGACTTTGTATGTGCAAATGGTGGCATTTCATGTTGTACAACAGCGCCCCCTACAATTTCAATTGTTTAGTCTTATACCAAAGAACACCAGAATAATACACTTTATACCTGAAAAAAACTTGTGGCAAAGTTTGGTGAGTTTTTGTGTTTGTTTTGTGGGTCAAATATGAGATCAAACAACATAAAACCTAAATACCTGTATCCCCATGTAAACCTTTACTCAGCCTGTAGGGGGCGCTAATGGGCCAATGTCATTGTTCACACTGTCATGTGACCTAGGCCCAGGAGTTGAACAACCGAGTCAAGTTTAGTGCTGAGTTTGTGAATGTGCTCCTGTTTGCACATACAATCTGTGAGTGTGTCCATACAGTCTCCATTGGATAACATGGGAACTCCACACCTCTCTATGAAAATGACCACACTTTGGGAGTCTGTCACGCTCAGACCGTTTGACTAATTCAAACTCTATATGCAACTATTGATGGTCCATGTGTTGAGACCATGTGGAGCGATTTTCAGACAAATTAGTGAAACGGCCGCGGCTGGTTTGATGTTTGAGCGAGGTGTACTTTTCAGAGATTTAACGATTTTCTCATAGACACAGACAGGGGAGTGTTGGTCGTCGCCACGGCAACAGGGTA